CCCCCCCCCCCAGCTCCGAGTTCTGGTGGGAGGCAGGAAAGCAGGTGGAGGGGGCCAAGCTGGGCTCGGCTGATAAGCCACCGTTAACAATGGGCCTTTCTGTACGGGGGTCACCCAACTGGTTTGTCTCTGGCACAGACCCACTGGGAGGGGGTGAGGTGGGTGTGGTGAAGGGCAGTGGGGAGGGGGCAGGTGTGCACGGTGTGTGTGGCTGTATCCTGGTGGCTCCTAGACCCGGGAGGTGGCTTTTCTCACCCAGCACACTTGTGGGCTCACACCTGCATGACACTCACATGTACACCCAGCGTTCTCACACACACTTGGGTGTCTTCCCTCTCATACACGCTCAAACATTGTCACATGTGCACACCCGAACGCTGTCCCTTTCACATACCTGGATGTTTCAGGACACACTTGAACACTGTCACATTCACACACTTGGGTGTTTTCACACTTATGCCCAAACATGCCCAAGCACATACTCGGACGTTTCCACACTCGTGCACTGTTAGCGTGCCCGCACACTGGAACATGATCGCACTCACACGCGTGGACACCTCCGCATCCGCGCGCTAGTGTGTTGTCACACTGCCATGCCTGGGCGTTTCCACACCTGCACCCACACATTGTCACACGCTGGGGCGTTTCCCAGCTCACACACAACAGGCTGGTCTCCCGCCCGCACACTGGAACATGATCGCACTCACACGCGTGGACACCTCCGCATCCACGCGCTAGTGTGTTGTCACACTGCCATGCCTGGGCGTTTCCACACTTGCACCCACACATTGTCACACGCTGGGGCGTTTCCCAGCTCACACACAACAGGCTGGTCTCCCTCTCATTTGCACTTGGGAGCTCCCACTCACACACACTCAGGTATTCTTACACGCTCTTGCACACTCAGGGGCTTCCACACGCTCAAGCACTTCCACACAGATGCACACAGTCTCTCGCACACTGACACAGAGAAGGGCCACAACCATGCACACGTGGCCCCCAAGTCCTCCCACGAGCACCTGTTGCTGTACGCGGCACAGGGACGCACGCCTGTAGGCACGGGGGTGGCCATCATCATTGGCATTTTCCCAGGGCTGGCTGGGCCTGTCACCTGCTTGCCCCACGACTCCTGCATCCTGGCCACACACTCACACATGCAGGGGCACACAGGTGAACACACCACCAGGGTGCTTGGGCCCAGGGCTGCAAAGATTCCGGAAGGCACGGTGACAGGTACTGAAACAGTGAGCAGAGGGTGAAATGACTCGAGAGCTAACTGCCGCACCCTGACCACTGCCACCTGGCCCAGGTCCACCCCTGCCCACATCTCAAGTGCCCCCTGCACTGTCTACACAGGGCCTGGCCATTAGTCCCTTCTTAGTCCTAAAGAAAATGTCCAGACCCTGGAAAATCCTCATTGCCCGTGGCAGAGAGGATCCTCCCTTCCTGGGGCGCTACGCCAGCCTGACTGCAGCAGGAAAGACCTAGGCTAGATGTCCTCTTCCTGCTGGGGGCTACAGAATTCCCAGAGCTGGAGTGGGAAGGGAGGAGAAACTGAGGCTCGGGGACGGGGATGAGTAGCTGGAAGTCACACAGCTGGGCAAGTCTTTCCAATCAATCTATGAAATAGGCAGCCAGGACAAGGGAACATGTTTCTGGCAGCTTCCTTGGTGGTGCCAAAAAATGTAGCTCATTATCTTTGTGCCCAGCCAACGCCCTGGAGCCCCACCTTCCCGTCAAGCTTCC